AGTATATTTGGGTAATCCCTCAAGGTTTCGAGGATAATCGTAACAATACATTATTTTACTCTGGTAACATCTACCGTCTGCCGCTGGCTGGTGCAAACAAAAAATGTGGCAGCATTGCACGGGAGCTGTCAAATAAAAATAATAAACGTCATTCTACGGAGAATTTCTGCAAATCACTTGGCGAAACAACATTTTTGTTAATAACGAAAATACATCTTTTGCTTTAAATAATCATGCATAAAATTCAATCGTTTCCAGAATATCAAGTGCCCGGCGCACAGCATCAAGATTTTTCACCTTACGAATCGAATGGAGGGTATGTATAGAAACATTTCCAAAATTCACGCTGAAGCGCATTGTCAATTTCAGATCTATTGTGGCCATTGCCGGCGAGGACTATGTAGTGATTGCAGCAGATACTCGCTTAAGCAGTGGATACACCATCCACACACGCAAACAAAACAAATTATTTCAATTGTCTGAGAAAACTGTACTCGCTTCAACGGGATGTTGGTGCGATACCTTGGCGCTTACCAGTTTGGTAAATGCTCGTATGCAAATGTACGAACATCTACACTTGAAAACCATGTCTACAGAAGCCGTTGCCCAAATGTTGTCCATTCTCATGTACAACAGACGCTTCTTCCCATACTATGTATCGAATGTATTGGCTGGGCTAGACACCGAAGGCAAGGGTGTAGTTTATTCATATGATCCTATTGGACACTGCGAGCGCACCACATATCGTGCCGGTGGTTCAGCTGGCACCCTACTGCAGCCAGTGTTGGATAATCAAATCGGCGGCAAAGATAAGGATGTAAAAAACAAACCCAAAGTGTCGTTGGAGAAAGCCAAGGAAGTAGCTAAGGATGCTTTTATTTCAGCAGCAGAACGTGATATATACACTGGCGATTCGGTACTTTTAAAAGTTATCACCAAAGATGGTGTTATCGAAGAGGAAGTGCAGTTACGTAAAGATTAAATTAGTAAACGGTTTGGTAATTTTTGTTTCTCAAAACTTTTTAATTAATAATAAACTTGTAATTTTGAGTACAAACATATATTTAAATAGGAAACATAAATTTATTTTGTGTTGCTGCTGTTTTGAAGTGATCAAATTTCAAAAATCAAATCTTGCGGAATACTGCTGAGGTGAGAAACTGATCTGATTCCCACTGGTAGCGTAAATCCGACTGCCGTGAGGAGGCTATTCAGCTGTTATTTCTTTTCCAGTGATGCTTTCCGAATAGGTTTGAGTATTTATGTTTATTCTTCTCTAAACTTTTCACAATACTCCATTTCAATCCTGATCGTAATACTAATGTGCACTCAAGCACTATGGAAGTCCGGTAGCAGGTTTTAGTTTTTGCTTTTTCCCCATTTGTTTATCAACAACCAAGAATCGCATATCGGCGTTTACATACCCCTGAATTAGTCAACTTCTGCCATCGCAAAAGATATAAGCTATCTTCTACTTAAATATGTTTGTATGCATGTATGTATAACCACGTATGCATATATGTACATACATACATATTTGCATATATTTGGTCGATTCTCTTATCGTCTTTGGACCTGCCGTATTACGTGATTCCAACTATTAAGTTTCAATATGCGTTGGTTGGTAAAAGAGTAAAAAAACACATTTGAGGGTTTTCTGCTAACCGCATTGTTTATTTAAAGTTTTTGTTTAATTTTTCATTCAGTTTTAGGCATAATATAAATTATTTTTTTGTTTATTATAATAGTAATAGTATATGCATGTAGGGTTGTAATCGTTATATACTATATATTTATATATGTATGTATGCTTAGGTGTATGTACGTTGTATATTTGCATGCGTATGTGTGTCGTGTGTGTTTAAATTTTTTTTATATTATTTTCTTTGCTGTATTATGCATTTGATTATGTTATTTAGGGCGGCATAGACATGTTGCAATCATGTGCCGCACTCGCTCACCCCACTCAGCTGCTCCTCTACTCTTATTTTAAGGTCGAAAAATTTAAAAGAAGGCAATATATATAACTTTTTCGCAGTTTATAACTAGTTTTATTTGAATTGCATTCCTAAACATAGTAAAATGAACAAACATACAAAACAATGACAAAGAACAAAAACAAAAGTGTCAATCGTAAGCCGCTTTATAAAGTTGCTTTCACATATGTCTGTATGTAAGTCGTATTGTGTTTTTATCATTATCCTATTTAATAATTTGATTTTTTATAAATGTATATTTTGTTTGTTTTTATCCACGATTATTATTATATTTTACTTCAATCAAGCCCAAATATTTTATACCAAGCACGCTATTGCATTTCTAATTATTTTAAACTTTATTTAAAAGTATGTACCTACTATATTGTTTTATGCCACCAACTTTTCCAAAGTCAGGAGAGTTAAAGGGTTCGTAGTAGTACACCTTATCCTTGAAAATTTGGTCAAGCGGACATACACTTATTGCTCGCAAATAACGCAACAAGATTCGGTTAGGGTGGATAATCGATTTGTTGTTTTATCTTAGCCGAGGTATAATTTTTTGAAATAAAATATGTATGTATATGAAAATCATTGAATTTAATTTGCATATTTACTTCTGTCCTAGATAACTATGTTTTTAGGTGTTGACTAATGACTACTTTCTTTCTTTATTTAAAACACACACTGCTCGTTTACCACTGATGCCGCTATATTATCAATCATTCATCCATTCATGCTTCATATAAACCCTACTGCCGTGCTGAATTGTAGTTAAAATCATCTTTCAGTACCCGCTGATCATGGTTTGTTCATAATTTCTATATTGGCAGAACGGATGAAGTTGGTAGCACCGATAATGGCGGTGAAGGTGATGGTATCTTTGGGATTGCTGAAGTTGTTGGAAATTGTGTTTTAGCTGTTTTTGTTGTTGCTGTACATGCTGGTTGGCGATTCGGCCTTGATGACTTCTATGCTACTAAGCTTCAGGCAGCGGTTTCAGTTCCTTTATCTGTTTAATCAGATACGCCTTTTCATCGTTGAATTGTTCATCCTCTGAACGATCCGTATGGAAATTGGTCAGAAAGTCAACCAATTTAGATTGGTTACGGAGCAAGATATCTAATATGGGCTTGGGCTTATTCGGATTGGCTACAAACACTTTGAAGACGTGGAACGCCTCGAATTGTATATTACGTGACTTTTCTTTTAGCATATTCATCATGAGCTTCAGGTTTTCCGGCTCCGATATGTATCGTGTCATCACGGTGAAATTGTGGCGATCAAGCAATAGTTCGCCTAATAGTTTCAGGCTTTGTCGCCTAGT